TCAGAATATGCGAGAATTGAGCGGTGGTTTGAAAGGGGTTGCGAGACCTGACCGGTGGTCTGAAAGGGGTTGCGAGAATTGAGCGGTGGTTTGAAAGGGGTTGCGAGAACTGGTTGGTGGTCTGAAAGGGGTTGCGAGAATTGAGCGGTGGTTTGAAAGGGGTTGCGAGACCTGGCCGGTGGTTTGAGAATATTCGAGAACTGAGCGGTGGTCTGAAAGGGGTTGCGAGACCTGGCCGCTGGTCTGAAAGGGGTTGCGAGAATTGAGCGGTGATTTGAGAATATTCGAGAACTGAGCGGTGGTCTGAAAGGGGTTGCGAGAACTGGTCGGTGATTTCAGAATGTGCCAGAACTGGTCGGTGATTTGAGAATATGCGAGAATTGAGCGGTGGTTTGAAAGGGGTTGCGAGAATTGAGCGGTGATTTGAGAATATTCGAGAACTGAGCACTGGTCTGAAAGGGGTTGCGAGAACTGGTCGGTGATTTGAAAATATACAAGAACTGAGCGGTGGTTTGAAAGGGGTTGCGAGAACTGGTTGGTGATTTGGGAATGTCCGAGAACTGGTCGGTGGTTTGAAAGGGGTTGCGAGACCTGGCCGGTGGTTTGAGAATATTCGAGAACTGAGCGGTGGTCTGAAAGGTGTTGCGAGACCTGGCCGGTGGTCTGAAAGGGGTTGTGAGAATTGAGCGGTGGTCTGAAAGGGGTTGCGAGAACTGGTGGGTGATTTGAGAATATACGAGAACTGGTCGGTGATTTGAGAATATACGAGAACTGGTCGGTGGTTTGAAAGGGGTTGCAGGAAGGATTTATAGAAAAGACACAGAGAAGCGACATAACAATGGTGGGTAAAATCACTGAAGCCCAGACGCCAGGTCAGGACCAATAATATTGCTGATTCTTTGGATTTTATCAAGAATCTCTAAATATAGAGCGGGTGCACTGGACCATATGTAGCATCAATATTCAAAGCATGGACAAATGGTAGATTTATAGATATGTAAGATAGATTCTAGCACGACGCAGTGAATCAACTTTCTTGGCGGCTGACCTAGCAATGAATTCAGCATACTGTTTCCATGTCATGTCAGTTGAGGATATAAGCACAAGATGGCGCCACGAGGCATTCTCATGGACGTTACTATCAACCATGATGATGGGGAACAGGAGGTTGCCTTTCAGTTGATTGATAAAGAAATGCTTCGTTTTGAAGACGTTAAAGTGTGTGTGTGTGTGTGCTTGTAGAATAGTTTCCAAACATAAAAAGAAAAGCTTTTTTTTTTCTTTTCAAGACAATGCGTTTTACTTCCGTGCGCAAGGTAAGCGTCTTCAGGTTGGAATGTAAGACAAAACACTGTATGTAAGGAAAGTGCTTTGGGACCCTTTTTTTTTAGGAAAGGGGCAACAAATTATCAAACTCTACGAGCAGAAAGTGCTTTTTTTTCCTTCTTGATATTGAAGCTATTAATATCTGCTTGATTTTAAAAATAGGCCACTACAGAGTCTGTCTATATTTCTGAGATGAGGTATTATGTACATTATTTACATTATTCGGACTATTGTCCTCATCTTTGTCGCCATATCTATCACAACGTTTCGGCCGTTGTACGCTCCGGCCTTCTTCAGGTGGTTGGAATGTCGAACTGAACCCTTTATTTCGCTCACTGGCGTAGACTGTTCTAGTTCCACGTGCCATGTTTGATGGATGTCAGTTATCAGTTATCTCCTGTTAATTTCCCTCTGAAAGTTCTCCACTGCCTTAACCGGGTATTGATCTCACACTCTTTGGATCCTCTCACTGGATCTAACCAACCTTGAGGACACATGGCACAGTGGATAAAGGCGTTGTGATAGATATGGCGAAAAAGATGAGGACAATAGTCCGAATAATGTAAATAAGGCCACTACAGGTAGATATTTTTGTCCTACTAGCTTGTATATTGCATTGGGCTACTATTGTTTTTGCGATGATTCGTGATATTCTGTATGAGCCTGGTCTGATGTTTGTCGCCGAAAATTGTGAGATCAGTGCACTCTCAATACATTTTTTTTTTTTTGTTGAATCTATTTATCTTCTGATCTGACTGGAATTTCATATTTACCGCTACTTTTTATTGAATTGTTGACTGGCTGTGTTGTACTGTCGTGGGTATAGGAAATGTCCTTTACTGGAAATAAATGACTATGAAGACGCTGACATCAATTTCTTATGGGCCTACTTTTGCCTCTCTCTCTTATTTATACTTTTACTTCTCTCTCTTCTATACTTTTCCTCTCTCTCCCTCTTTTGTCTGATTTTACCCCTCTCTGTCTTTTCTAATTTGAACACTCTTTCTATTTTCTACTTTTTCTTCTCTCTCTCTCTATTTTCTACTTTTACTCCTCTCCCTATTTTCTACTTTTACTCCTCTCTCTCTCTTTATTTTCTACTTTTTCTTCTCTCTCTCTCTCTCTCTTTATTTTCTACTTTTACTTCTCTCTATATATATATTTTCTACTTTTACTCCTCTCTCTCTCTTTATTTTCTACATTTACTCCTCTCTCTCTCTTTATTTTCTACATTTACTCCTCTCTCTCTCTCTCTCTTTATTTTCTACATTAACTTAATTCTCTCTTCTCTCTCGCTATCTCTTTTAACATTTACTCCTCTCTCTATTTTCTACTTTTACTACTCTCTCTAATTTTTACTTTTACTCTTCCCTTTCTCTCTCTCTCTCTCTCTATTTTCTACATTTACTCTTCTCTCTATTTTCTACATTTTCTCTCTCTCTCTCTCTCTCTCTCTCTCTATTTTCTACATTTTCTCTCTCTCTCTCTCTCTATTTTCCACATTTTTTTCTCTCTCTCTTTTCTACATTTTCTCTCTCTATCTCTATTTTCCACATTTTCTCTCTCTGTCTATTTTCTACATTTTCTCCCTCTCTCTATTTTCTACTTTTACTTCTCTCTCTTTATTTTTTACATTTACTTCTTTCTCTATTTTTTACCTTTACTTCTCTCTCTCTCTCTCTCTGTCTCTCTCTTTGTCTCTATATTCTACTTTTGCTTCTCACTCGCTCTCTATATTCTACTTTTACTTCTCTCTATCTCTTTTCTGTTTTTACTTTCTTTATTTTTTACTTTTGCTTCTCACTCACTATTTTCTAAATTAACTCCTCTCTCTATTTTCTACTTCTCTCTATTTTCTACTTTTACTTCTCTCTCTCTCTCTCTCTCTCTATCTCTCTCTCTCTCTCTATATATATATATATATATATATTCTATTTTTTCTTCTGCCTCTTTCTATTTTTCCCTTAACCCTCTCACTCTCTCTTTTCCATCTGCCTCCCCTTCATCACTTATATTGTCTATTTTGAACTCTTCCTCATATCCTTCCAATCCTCCATTTTATTTCTCTATTTCTATCTCCTTCTCTCTCTCTCTCTCTCTATATATATATATATATATATATATATATATATATATATAATGAATAGATGCTAATGAATACCACCCGCTTTAAATTCCTTCATTTTCTTACCTCCCGTCTTATTTATTTCAACATTAATTGGTCAATTCCGGCCGGGTTATCTGATTTCAGCCATGTCAACCTACGACCTACTTTAATATTTCTGACCTAAGTGAGTGTCACTCGAAAAACGGACAAGTACTCAAAGCAGATTTTCTCAGTCAGCTTTCTCCTTCCCTGACATAAGATCTGTCTCCAAAGGTCAAGGTTGACAATAGTAGTAACAGTATTTTTAGCAGATAAGTTATGGAGAGCAGTTAGTTCACGTGCTCATTGACCCACTTTCTGCTCAACAAAACATTGTGGCATACAAGCGACGAGAGATATAGGAGACGACTAGCGTCAATTGGAGTTAATTTTCTCTTTTTTTCCTTTGCACAATTTCTATTCTCTTTTTTCTTTGGTATACTTTCTTTTCTCCATTTTCTGTTGCATCCTTCCTCTTCTCTTTTTTTTTCTTTTGCATCCATACTCTTCTCTTTTTCACTTTCGCAATCTTCCTCTTCTTTTCTTTTCTTTTGCATCCTTTCACTCCTCTTTTTTCTTTTACGGCCTTTCTTTTCTCTTTTTTCTTTTACATCCTTTCTCTTCTCTTTTTTCTTTTACATCCTTTCTCTTCTCTTTTTTCTTTTACAACCTTTCTTTTCTCTTTTTTTTTGCATCCTTTCCCTTCTCTTTTTTATTTTACATCCTTTCTCTTCTGTGTTTTCTTTGGCATCCTTTCTCTTCTCTTTATTATTTTACATCCTTTCTCTTCCCATTTTTTTTTACATCCTTTCTTTTCTTTTTTTACATCCTTTCACTTCTCCTTTTCTTTTGCATCCTTTCTCGTCTCTTTTTCTTTTACAGCCCTTCTTTTCTCTTTTTTTTCTTTTGCGTCTCTTCTCTTCAATTTTTCCTTTTACATCCATTCTCTTCTATTTTTTCATATCCTTTCTTTTCTCTTTTTCTTTTACATCCTTTCTCTTTTATTTTTCTTTTGCATCCTTTCTCTTCTCTTTTTTCTTTTACATCCTTTCTCTTCTCTTTTTTCTTTTTACATCTTTTTTTTCTTTTTCCTTTTACATCCATTCTTTTCTTTTTTTTTGCATCCTTTCTTTTCTTTTTTTTATTTTGTATACTTTCTCTACACTTTTTCCATTGCACACTTTCTTTTCTCTTTTTTCTTTTACATCCTTTCTCTTTTATTTTTCTTGTACATCCTTTCTCTTCTCTATTTCCTTTTACATCCTTTCTCTTGTCTTTTTTTTCTTTTGCGTTCTTTCTCTTCTCTTTTTCTTTTAGATCCTTTCTTTTCTCTTTTTTCTTTTCCATCCTTTCTCTTCTTTTTTTATTTTGTATACTTTCTCTTCTCTTTTTCCTTTTACTTTCCTTCTTTTCTTTTTTTACATCCTTTCTTTTCTCTTTTTTTCTTTTGCATCGTAACTCAACTCTTTTTCTTTTACAACCTTTCTTTTCTCTTTTTCTTTTACATCATTTATCTTCTCTTTCTTTTGCATCCTTCCTCTTCTCTTTTTTTTTGGATCCTTTCTCTTCTAATTTTCAATTACATCATTTCTTTCCTTTTTTTCTTTTATATCCTTTCTTTTCTCTTTAGCATCCTTTCCTTTCCCTTTTTCTTTTCATCCTTTCTTTTCTTTTTTTTCTTTTACATCCTTTCTCTTCTTATTCTCTTGTACATCTTTTTCTTTTTTCATTTTTCTTTTGCCTCCTTTCTTTTCTATTTTTTTAATTTGCATCCTATCTCTTCTCTGAATTTTTACATATTTTCTCTTCTCTTTTTTCTTTTACATCCTTTCTTTTTTCTTTTTTATTTTGTATACTTTCTCTTTATTTTTCACGTTTACATCCTTTCTTTTCTTTTTTCTTTTACATCCTTTCTCTTCACTTTTTCTTTTAGATCCTTTTTTTTTCTTTTTTTTTCTTTTGTATCCTTACTCTAATCTTTTTCTTTTACAACCTTTCTTTTCTCTTTCTTTTGTATCTATTCTCTTCTCTTTTTTACATCCTTTCTCTTCTCTTTTTCTTTTGCATCCTTTCTTTTCTCTTTTTCTTTTACATCCTTTTCTAATAATTTTATATTTCTTCTCTTTTATTTTAACATTTTTCTTTCTTTTTCTTTTAGATTAATTTTTTTTTTTCTTTTTTTGCATTTCCTTTTCTCTTTTTCTTTTACATCCTTTCTTTTCTCTTTTTCTTTTAGATCCTTTCTTTTCTCTTTTTCCTTTAGCATCCTTTCTCTTCTCTTTTTCTTTTAGATCCTTTCTCTTCTCTTTTTCTTTTAACATCCTTTCTTTTCTCTTTTTTCTTTTACATCTTTTCTCTTCTCTTTTTTTTTACATCCTTTCTTTTCTTTTTTCTTTTGCATCCTTTATTTTCTCTTTTTCTGTTACATCCCTTCTCTTCTCTTTTTCTTTTAGATCCTGTCTCTTCGCTTTTTGCTTTTACATTGTTTCTTTTCTTTTTTTTTACATCCTTTCTTTTCTCTTTTTTCTTTTGCATCTTTTCTCTTCGCTTTTTTATTTTACATCCTTTCTTTTATCTTTTGTCGTTTGGATCCTTTCTCTTCTCTTTTTCTTTTGCATCCTTTCTATTGTATTTTTTCTTTTACATCCCTTTTCTTTTTTTCTTTTCATCCTTTCTTTTCTCTTTTTTCTTTTCATCTTTTCTCTTCTCTTTTTTCTTTTAGATCCTTTCTTTTCTCTTATTTCTTTTCCATCTTTTTTCTTCTTTTTTATTTTGTATACTTTCTCTTTTTCCTTTTACATTCTTTCTTTTCTTTTTTTTACATCCTTTCTTTTTTCTTTTGCATCCTTTCTCTTTTTTCTTTTTCGTTTGGATCCTTTCTCTTCTCTTTTTTATTTTGTATACTTTCTCCTCTCTTTTTTTCCATTACACACTTTCTTTAATCTTTTTTCTTTTGCATTCTATCTTTTCTCTTTTTTCCATTGCATCCTTTCTTTTCTCCTTTTTCTGTTACATTCTTTCTCTTCTCTTTTTCCCTTCTTTTCTTTTAGATCCTTTCTTTTCTCTTTTTCTTTTACATCCTTTCTTTTCTCTTTTTTCTTTAGCATCCTTTCTCTTCTCTTTTTTCTTTTTACATCCTTTCTTTTCTCTTTTTCTTTTCCTTTTCTTTTTTTTCTTTTAGATCCTTTCTTTTCTCTTTTCTTTTAGATCCTTTCTTTTCTCTTTTTCTTTTACATCCTTTCTTTTCTCTTTTTTCTTTAGCATCCTTTCTCTTCTCTTTTTTCTTTTACATCCTTTCTCTTCTCTTTTTTCTTTTACATCCTTTCTTTTCTCTTTTTCTTTTACATCCTTTCTCTTCTCTTTTTTCTTTTACATCCTTTCTTTTCTCTTTTTCTTTTACATCCTTTCTTTTCTCTTTTTCTTTTACATCCTTTCTTTTCTCTTTTTCTTTTACATCCTTTCTTTTCTCTTTTTCTTTTAGATCCTTTCTTTTCTCTTTTCTTTTAGATCCTTTCTCTTCTCGTTTTTCTTTTAGATCCTTTCTCTTCTCTTTTTTCTTTTAGATCCTTTCTTATCTCTTTTTTCTTTTACATCCTTTCTCTTTCCCTTTTTTATTTTGCATCCTTTCTCTTTTTCTTTTGAATCCATTCTTTTCTCTTTTTCTTTTACATCCTTTCTTTTCTCTTTTTTCTTTAGCATCCTTTCTCTTTTCTTTTTTCTTTTACATCCTTTCTCTTTTACATCTTTTCTCTTTTCCTTTTTCTTTTACATCCTTTCTCTTTTACATCCTTTCTCTTTTCCTTTTTCTTTTACATCCTTTCTCTTTTACATCTTTTCTCTTTTCCTTTTTCTTTTACATCCTTTCTCTTTTCCTTTCTCTTTTACATCTTTTCTCTTTTCCTTTTTCTTTTACATCCTTTCTCTTTTCCTTTTTCTTTTACATCTTTTCTCTTTTCCTTTTTCTTTTACATCCTTTCTCTTTTCCTTTTTCTTTTACATCCTTTCTCTTCTCTTTTTTCTTTGCCCCTTTTCTTTGTAGCAGTTACATTTACCAAATTTAATTTGATGTCCGATAGAACACCGTTTAAAAAAATAGAGCCGCTTTCTCTAAAGAGATTAAGCTTAAGCCTTCAAAGAGTGAATACAATTACCTGTTTATTGAGTATTAATCCGATTCTTTGAAATCAATTCCCTCTTCGTCAGCCA